TGTCGACTCAAGGTCAACTTACAGGTCTATTTATATAAAATTGTTAACTAATACTATACTACGCCTTTCAATAAGTATATATAATAAAAATAATATAAGTAATGAAAGTAGACTATATAATATTTATATTAAAAGGTAAACTATTCGATACATGTATTACATGTTTAACATGTATGATATTTGGCGCAGTTGAAGATCATTTAAGGCACAGTATGAACTGCGGCTAACACCGGTTAATAATTAGCCGGACTTTTGAATATCATCAGAGCAAATGTGGTATTTAATGAATTACAAGATGTTTCTTATCATTGACTTTTTTATATGCACGATTGTGACCTGTTACTCCTATTATACCGTAGCATCTTCTGACACATTAGCAAAAATGCTACCTCTTTCGCAAGTATTATCGTAAAATTTGCCTTTTTGTAAAAGTAAAAAAGTTTTGCTGGTTATTTCACAACATCAATTATGATCTTTAATTACATTAGCGCTTCTTCAATTTTCATATATATTTTCAGTTAGTTCACAATTATAGGTTCATCTGCAACGAGGGCAAATAACTTAGATAATTGACTATTAAACGACCAATTGCACTAGTAAAAACAGGTCTGATGTATTTTTTGTTGTCTTTTATTAACGCACTTTTAAGGCATTTTCAACTTTTTTTGCCATGAAAAACTTGGATAAAAAAAATAAAGGGTATAGAATAAAGAAATAGCAATTTTATAAAGAAAAGATTCATATCAAAATAAACATTTATATACTGTGACTAGTAAAATATGGTGAACAATAGTAAAAATTACATATTTTTTTTTTATCACGGGCGTTAGTCACCAGAGGATAAAAATGATTTTCAATTTTCACGCGACTGCGCCGTGAAAATCATTGATATCCGTGAAATAACTATTGTCATTATTTTATTGTCAAATGTATCGCATCAGTGAATCCAAATCAAATTTATTTGATATTAAAAGAAAATTTTTTAAATTTTTTTATCCTTCAAAAAAAAAAAAAAAACAAGAAAAAAGAAAAAGAGATTTATAAATTTATTAATCTAAGAAAACGAAAAAAAAATTTATAAACAAAGTTTCACTATTTTATATACCAGCATATAAATAATATATATTAATCCATAAAATAATTCCTTCAAAAAAAAAAATTATTATAGAAATAAAATTATCCTCCTATCAAAAATAGGGATTTAAATTTAGCATAAAATTTCCCACGGTGGTTGTTTTTGAATTTTCGTGCAATTTTTAGCCAAATGATTATTACTTTTCCAACATATAAAACAATAATCTCAATATTCAACTGGTATTTCAGGACAATTTTCATCAAATGTCCATTAATTTAACAATAGTTACATGACGTTGATAGTGTTAAAATAAAAATCGGTTTGATGTTTGACTGCTTGCAAAGCATCATTATGCATTTGCATCGACTCTTCGTTTATTGTTTCAACAAATTGTGCTGATTTTTAATCTTTTTAATCAACTCTTTGATTTTATATAAAATAAAAAAAGGTGGGAGTTAAGTTATATATAGGATATTTTTACTATACGACATACAATAAAATAACTAGTTTGACATTATTGATATTAAAAATCAATCAAAAATGACGTAATCAATGCAGCGATGATAAATTATTAAATGACGCTTGGTCATTTTGACTTGAAATTTATAATTAAAAGATGTCATTGAGATCAGATCAAGGTCAATTGTCAATACTGCATAATACGTCAATAAAACTGATTTTTAACGTTTATGACGGCTAATATGGTTATTTTACAAAAAAATTAATCAACCAATCAAAAAGCAAGGTGTGCTAAAATTACAAATTTTTTGATTTTTTTTTAATTCCAACCCTAGCATATGATGATATTTTATAAAAATACATAGGATTTTTTTTTCGCTTTATTCATTAACGGCGGTCCTACCAAAGATATCCTACAACAAGTCAGCAATATTAGGTATTTTCTAAAGCTCCCATTATCAACCTTTTAAACATTGCTATAATGCTAGTATTCAAAGTATTCGATCAAATTTTATATATCGCAAAAATGAGATGATTCTTGTAAAAAATCCATTTAATATTGAAGATATTAATTCTAAACTTCGAAGTTACATCGATTATCTGGTAAATAAGAAATTATAGTTAACACCGTCCCTCCCCCCCGAAAATGATGCACAGTTTATATAGGCTCACAATCACCAGATTTAACTTAAAGAAAACTTTATATGGTATTTGAGAAAATTTTAAAAAAAAAATTTTTTATGACAGCTTTTATATTTTCAATAGTATATAAATAAAATAAAATAAAATGTTATTTCTAGCAAAACTCAATGGCGAGTAATACTTTTAATTTTCAAAAACATTTTTTATTAAATAAATATGTATGCACACATGTATGTATATGTGTATATGTTAAGAAATATTGAAATAAATATAAAGTATTTGTTCTGTATAGCATTGTCGTATGATTATTTAACTCTGAGAGTTCTCGGAATCCTTTTTATTTTTATCGAATATTTGCTTGTATGTCCTTTCTATAACAATAGATAATAATTCTTCTTCGGAATTTTCCTGAATATTGAGCTTGGTTAATAATTTTTGCTTTAATTCTGGAAATTCATTGGAATCCCATTCCTTCTCTTTAATTAGTTCTCGAACTTTTCTACGTGTAATATCAAATTTAGCATGATAATATCTAGAAAAATAAATAAATAATTAATAAATTAATGGGAAGATATTTTGAGAAAATTACAAATAATAACATACATCACATCAGGAAACCAGGTTTTCCAACGTCTTTGGTTTGGTAATAAGTAAAATAACTCGATTTCTGCCAAAATCTATATTTAAAAAAAAATAAAAAACCATTTATTAGTAGAACGCAAAACTAAAACGTGCACATATATTATGGTAATTTATAAATACCTTTGCCTTTTGTTTAAAATATGAAGCTCTATTGTTATCTTTCTCAATGGCATTACTTAGCAATCCAATCAACAAATTCATAAGGTATACAGCAATTGTTAAAGAGAATAAAAACATCAATATAGCAAGAGATGTGTTGTTTTTATATTCCCAGTTAGAAAAGGCGCTTGAATCTCCTATTAAAAGAAAAATAAATATATTTGGGTTAGTCATTAATACATCGACATTATATTTATAATTGTTATTGAACGGGGCGTTAAAATATCGGTTGGATATAGCCCCGTTCAATTAATAAAATGAATAATGTTAAATAAACAAATAAATTATACCTGTTAGAAATAAATACGTTGAAAAAATTGCTGTATCATAATCCGTAAACATGTTTGTGTTTGAATCAGGTTGTTGAGTCAATATTTGACCTGGTGCAATGGTTCCATCTTCTTGTATTTGAACATAACTACTAGTTAAATTCCAAGGATTATTGCTATCATTTCTTGTAAGTGGAGGATGATCTAAATCAAATTCTTGTCTTGGCCTTAAAAGAATCAAAAAAGCATGGGCAAAACCTAAGATTATAATAAATAATAAGAACAAGAAGGAGGCTATTCTCTTCGCAACACTAATTATAATTACAAAATAGACACCAAATGATTTAAATGCTCTAAAAAACAATAAAAACTTCAAATCTAACAAGAGACATGAAATTGCTATCCAAAAATAGGGTTTATTGGCTTCATCTTTGATAGATAACCAATAAATGGCTGTACAAGCAGGGGATAGATATGCTCCCAAATCTAAAAACATGAGATATTATTAAATATTTTGACAATTATATAATTCAACTGATTTCATTCTTACCAAAATAGTTCCAAGGATCACGAAACCATTCACCACCATCATAAATAACCTGACGAAACTCAACAGTGGAATGAAAAAATCCAAGAATAATTGAAGCGATTAAAAGTTGATTTCTGAAACCTTCAGATATGTAATGATCAGAAAATGTCGTTGCAACAATAAAGCATACAAGTAAAATATTAAACATGGTCCAAATAACTATATAATAATAAAATCCATATTTATTCCACTTGAAGTTAACTAATGCTTCACCATTCCATGTGTTATATATCGCACTACTTATTGTTTTTACAAATGGACTAGGTGTGGGTTTAAAGAAATCCGATAACCACCACCGCCTACCATCTTTTTGTGGATAACTAACAAATTTGATATAAGGATTCATAAAGGTAATTGTAGGATTCAAGTTTTCGGGAAATACTGAATCAAATAAAGAAGATCCCAAATGAGTAAATATATAATGACAAAAAGTAAATCCATCAAAATAAAAATCATTATTAATGTTAAAATAATTTAAAATATATAATATTGGAAAGGAAATAATTGATGTAAAGAAATATATTAAGGCTTCAATTACACAATAAAAAATTGTTAAGTATTTGATTATTTTACTTGATTTCCCTTCCATTTGTTGTGTAATTCGATAATTATAACTATGCCAATAAATCGATCCAGTTAAATCAACTATTTCGATATCGGAAAAGTGATGAAGATGTGGAGTATTAAGATGATCTATTTTATAATCATAGGAATCTGTTATCATTCTTGTATTTGATGAAAATCTTTCAACAAATTCAGGATAATGTTTATTCAATAATGGCATTGATCTAGTAATAATACTTAAAAATGACTTATTTTCTTCAAAATCTTCATTGAAAGCATTTAAACATTTCTTATAAATATTTTCTATTAAATCTACATCATGTTCCTCAATGGCAAACATTAATAATGCAGTGCCATATTTTAAAAAATATTCATTGTTTTCTTTAATATGTGAAATAGTTCCATAAATCAACTCATCAAATTCAATTTTGTATCCGAATGTTTCTTTAATCCTTTTAATCTTGCCTTCCGGATCGTGCATAGGGTGGAAATAATTCAAAGAAATTAACCTTTCACCTTTACTTGTACATAACCTCACATCCTTATTTAAATGAAAAATAAAAATGCCAATCTTTGTTAAAAGAATGATGGAATCATCATTTAACAATTTGCTTGCAAGTATATTAAGATCTTTCATGGTATCTTCAGTATTATTTTTAAGTATTTCAAGATACATCTTGTCTGAACAAAAAAAACGAATTAAATTCTCATCAATTGATAAATCATCTTTTGAAATTTTGATTTTCAATCTATTCTCATTTGCTAAATCTTCAACCGTCATTATTCGTTTTGTAAAATGAATCATTAATTCTTTAATTTTAGATGTCCATTTATCATCATCATTCTCTAACTCTTTAAATTTATCTAACTGTTTAATAAAATAATTTGCCAACTCATCTTCAATTTTAGCTAAATTTTTGTCTTTAATATATGTATTCACTAAATTTTTAATTTGAATGGCTATAGGTTCCTTAAATTCTACAGTGTTCATTTTTTTTATCCATTCAATAAAATCTTTAGTTATCTCTTCTATATCGACAATAAAATCCTCCCCTTCAACTAATTTCTTAAGGGCTTTCTTTAATTCATTCTCTATTTGCTTTGCATCAATTTTCTCAGTTGGCACTTTATTAATTGACTTCTTTATTGCCTTTGTAAGGACTTCCTCCAATTTTTTACATTTAGTTATCTCTAACAGGTCGATAAACTTGTCTACTGACTTTTTATATTTATCTGTTCCTATCTCAGAGGTTCCTTTATCATTAGTTAATTTTTCAATAAAGGAATTCACTAGTGCATTAACATTACTTTCTTCAATTTTGTTCGGTTTTTCATTGTAAATTTTCTCCTTAATAGATTTCTCTTCAATAAAACTATTCAACTGCTTTTCAAATTTAGCTATATTTATCTCTTCAATTACTAAAATAAATTTTTTCACTATGGGTTTAATAATTTTGCTGTCCAAATTTTTTGCTGCAATTTGTTCAGTTATCCTTTTTTTAAATTTTGTTTCTGATCGTTCAATTGTCTTTTTAGCTAAAGCAAAATCAACTGTAAAAGTTCTCACCAAATCAATTAATTTTGTTTCGTTTAGATCTTCCTCTTTAAGTATATTTTCAATAAGATCATTTTCCAATCCTTTAATCTTAATTATCTCAATCTCTTCAATAAAATTATTCACTAAATTCTTAAATTTTTCTCGACTTTTTTTCAGTGAATCTTCTCCTTCATCAATAACAATTATATTTTTAAACTTATTTAAATCATCTAATAAATCTTTGAAATTGGTTACATTTTCCATTAATTTCTTAATCAGTTCCTCTGATTTATTGCCTTGTTTTGTTTGTTCATTAAAATTTTTCAATAACCCGATTTTTATTATCATTTTAACAAAATTGTTCACCGATGTTTCAATTTTTTCCTTCTGTTTATTACTTTCTTCCTCATCAATTTCTTTTATCTCCTTAAAAAAATTTTCCTTTATCCTGATAAACATATCTTTGGTTGTCGAAGATGATTCTTTAATATGATATTTCTCTAAATCCGAATCATCAATATCGGGCATTCTTATTTCTTTATTAATAAAATCTTTCTCTAATCCTTTAATTTTAATTTCCTCGATACCTGTAATAAAACTAGCCACGAATGTGTTTCTTTTATTTATTTCTATTTCATTTACTATAGTTCTAATATGAGTTTCTCGTGTTGGATCATTTGCATTAGAATTAATTATCTTATCAATTAAAGGTTTATTTATGTTGGAAATTATGTTTTTAAATGTTTCATAAATAGTTTTCAGTTTTTTTATTTCTTCGTCTATTCCATCTTCAAAATCAATCGTTAAATTTGTAAAATTTGTAATATATTTAGTAATAATATTTGATACTTCTAAATCTTCGAATTCATTTATCTTTATTTTCCTAGTAAAATCTTCCACGATGTTATTAAACTTTATTTGTTTCTCATCATCTGATTCGAAATTGTTGAGATGGGTTATTTGATTAATAAATAATTTCTCCAATTTTGATTTTATATTATGCTTTTTCTGTTTGCAAAGATTTTTATTTAATTCCTCAGATAAATTATTAATGCCGTAAATAAAATCATTTTGTAATTGTTCCACTAAACTTATATTTTGTTCATCAATTTTGTCAATTTTGTCAACCTGATCAAAAACAATTTTTCCTGTAATAATTTTCCAATTTGAAAGTTCTTTATCTAATCCTTCAATTTGAATTATCTCATCAACTAAATGTTTTGATAATTGCATAAGATTTAATCTTAATTCTATAATTTTAGATACAAATTCATCTAATTTATTACTTATATCTTCCTTCTCGCGTTTGACTTTTTGAACTAAGTTTATATACCTATTTATCTTTTTGTCAAAATCCCTCACGTATTGAGTGATTTCGCCTTTGATATTCTTTCTCTTGGTGTCTTCATTATTAACTTTGATCTTCTGTTTTTCTTCAATTTTCCAAATAATAGAACCTTTCTCCAATTGATATTCCCTTCCTAAATCATCCCCAATTTCAGAAAAAGTTAAGTGATCATAATCATTTTTGGGCTTAACAAATTCGACCTCCTTAGCTTCAATGCTGTCATCTGTTTCGAATGTAAATTTATAATTTTTTGAATTTAAATTATAAAATAGAGAAGGACTTGAATCTACAATCATTGATTCTAATAATGCATTATCAAACAAAGAAAGTAATAAACATCTCAAGTTTGGACGTTTTATATCAAAAACATGCAGTTGTTTTTGTTTTTCTTCTAAAAAAAAAAAAGAAAGAAAGTTTAGTATTTGTAAATTTGAACATGTTATTTAAAATAAAAACCGTACCATTTTTTAAATTAAATTTCGCAATAGGAAAAGACAATTCATTTGAATAAACAACAATAATGTTATCTAATTTCAAACAGGTGTATTCCTCATTACTAGAGATTTTAATATCTTTTGTTTTTATCTATTTATTAATTTATATTTTTATAAAAGAAACAAATATTAGTTTGTATTTTCTTAATTAAAAACAATATTTTGAAAATTTATTAATTTACCTCATATATGCTTTTTGTTATTATAGTTGTATGACCCATAAGAACATCCCATTCATATATATTATCATTTAAACGTAGTAAAATTTTATTATACTTTGATATGTTTATTACATCCGCCCCATCAGATATCTTGAAGAACCTTTTCCACTTTGTTTTATTAGTTTTGGTTTGTATTGAATAAATGCAAACAATATTTTCCAACCCGTTAAAGCCGTCAACCGTGCAAGAGAAGATAAGATCTCCTTCAAGGTTAAAGTTACAATGTTGTACCTCCGATACTTCAAAATTCAATTTCAATTTCTTTTCTTGATAAATATTTTTCATATCGATGATCCCTAATAATAATAATTTTATTAAATTTAATAATTTGACACGTGTAACATTTTAACCAATAATTATACTTACTGATAAAATAATTATCTTGAATATACGCTATCTTCATTTGATCAGAGACACACATAGCTGAAATTGTATCGCCATATGCATAAACACTTTGTCTGAGCTTATAATTCAAATCTCCGTCTACTAGTAAAAACGTAGCTGCGTCATCTTTTTCATTGTCGTCTTTTTCATTGTTGTCTTTTTCATTTTCATTGGCGTCATTTTCATTGTTGTCTACGTCGACATACCAGTACCAGTCAATAACTTTGTTTTTTTTACTATAAGCAGCAATACATTCTCCTTTCGGTGATATTTCTATTATTTCGTAATGTTTAATAGGATTCATTTCAGAAATAAAAATTTGATATTAGTTTGAGGAAGGAGCAATTTCGTGACTAGCTATAGGTACTAGGACAAAGAAAAAAAAGTCCTTTAAATAACAAATCATTGTTACATTCGAGTACAAATTAATAAAACTGATGGATAGGGCGTATAAATTTGTGTAAACACATCTTTTAGAAAAGAAAAACGTAGTCGTGATGTCCACAAAAAAAAAAGTCATTGAGAATTGACTTAAATGGAATTTTTTGTTTTTTTGAATTAAGTCGTTTTTGATAAAATCAATAACACCCGAAGTTCAATGATGAAATCGCGTAACTTACTTTAAAAATAAAACAAAAATAAACAAAGTCGTGATACATATGCTCAAAATCACTAAAAAAACAAAGTATTGAAAATTGTCTTAAATGGATCTTTTTTTGTTTAATGAATTCGTTTTTGATACTATTAAAAAACCTGTACTGCATAACATATCTGCAGAATATTCCCGAAAATGGTAAAACGTTATAAAAACGAAAAATAAAATAAAATTTTCGTGGTCTAAAGGCAGTGTAACGTGCACACAGTTCATTGATTATCATTGCAGATCACTATTCCCTAAAGATACAATACAATGAAAGTAGTGTAACTAATTTACAATAGTCACGGCACATCTGATAAATCTCATACAGTATTGACTGAAAAGGAACACAACTCAGAGAATACCCAATTTTGGTGTTATTCAAGTTTTTAAGTTCAACTTGATAAAATTTTTCCAAAAAAGCTATAATTGATTGAGAATAATAATTGTTTTCAATGATCGAGAAATCATTAATTGATTTTCTTCGTTGAAATGCACATATGAAAAGTTCTTGAATTACAATTATTGAATGGATAAATATATAGAAATGCAAATTAAATAAATTAAATATATAACATCATGCAGATCTTTGGAAATCAATGATCGTCATTTTTCTTGGCTTTTTTTCAATGGGCAAAAAAAAACAGCTTACAGAATTTGAGCGTGGAATAATTATTGGTTTTTACCAAGCGGGTGACTTTGAAAGAACTATATTCAAAAAACAAACCATTAAAAAATGGCTGTTTATGATATAACAGGTACTTTTACCATTGCTCTTCGAAGTGGGCGGCCAAAAAATTAGATGAACGTGATAAATGACATCTATAACTTATTGTTAGTAAAGAAAGACGTAAGTGATGCTCCGAAGCGATCGAGTCGACCCGGTTGTTTGACCCGATTCGAATTTTTTCTCGATTCGGGACTATCATTTTTATGACACGAGTCCTAATTCAAAAAAACCCTGCCGGGTCAGGGTCACGTTTTTGCTTGACCCGAGTCGACCCGGTGACCCGGATGATCAGGCTTAAAACAATATCGATATAAATTGACGCGCTAGTATTTTTATTTTTGTTTTACGTTACGAGACTTAAATTTGTAACAATTAAATAATGAGTAAACCTATAGAGGTTACCGATAGTACAACTTCGTCTAGAAAACGAAAAGCATTGCGGAGTGAACAATTACAAAAAAATAAAATTCTCGATTATTAAACATTAACCAATACATTTTTTTATAAAGCAACAAGTGTTTCAGTAGAACGAGTTTTTTTCTGATCAGATATCAACCAAAGGATGTGGTCTTAAAGCTAATACAAATCGTCTGTATGTGCTTGAGATTCTGGTATAAAAAAACAGAATTAGGATTAATGCTCACAAAAAAAAATAAATTTCAAAAATAAAATAAACACTTTTTTAGATTTGCGTCAACTGACAGTTGACGTGAGTCAGATGACTAATGCTGGCCAAACCTTCTTAAGGCATTATAAAATCGGCCCAAAATAACCCATAATTTAGGCCAGTCGTCATCTGACGCACAACAAAATGAAAAATCGAGTCGAATCCGGGTTAAACAATAATCGGGTCGAGTCGAATTCGGGTTCTGTAATTATTAATGGGTTTGAGTTCGAATATGCCTTAAACCTGACCCGACCCAACCATCACGGAGCACTAGACGTGAGCTTGCACAAAAATACGAGAAATTCAACTGGGAATGAAGCATGTATAAATACTAACGAAATGAACTTTATAGTATGGGATATCATAGTCGAATTGCTCTTAAAAAGCCTTATATAGGTGAAACAAATAGACGCTTTGATAAAAACATTCACGAGAAAAGCATTTTTGGACAATCAATGATTTGAAAAAGTCATTTGGGTGATGAGTTAAGGTTTACTTTATTCCATAATAATGCAAAATTCATGTTTGACGTCTCCCAATGGTTAATATGGTGGAGGTGGAATTATGATGTGTGAATGTTTTTCATGGTATGGTTAGGTACCTTGATAAAATATAGATGGCTGGATTAATAGTGAAAGATGCATAAATAAGATTATTGGATATCATTTATTACCGTTTTTAGAAGAATTTGAAGAAAATATGGGAATATTTTTTTTTAACAAGACAGCTCACCTATCCATACAAGTAAACAAACGTAAGTTTTATTGAAGAAAATGCAATAATTCTTTTACGATAGCCAGGACAAAGTCTTGATTTGAATCTAATTGAGCATTTATAGGACGAGCTTGAACGAAACATCATATCAAAAAAAGAAAACTCAAAAAATATAATTGAATTAGAAAAATTCCTGTTGGAGACATGGTCACAAATTTCTAATCAAGTTTATCAAAAACTAGTTAATAGTTATTCGGCACGTGTCTTTCCAACTAAATAATTAAAATTTAATAAATTTAATTAAAAAATTAATTGATTAATATTTTAAAAAATGATTATCAAATTATTACTTACTTAAAAATTCAATATATTATTTTTGGTTAAAATTCGCATACAAATCATTAAAAAAATATATATTAATGAGTGAAGATATTAAATTTATTTATTTATTAGAGTCTAATAACACTTGATGTTAAAAAATAGTTAAGATGTCTTATACTTTTTGGTAGAGATTTTACTTTGGGATTGTGATAGTCGGGATTTAGGACCGGATCCTAATTATGGTGCTGGCAATCTATTAATTTGTAACACTTACACATCCATTAGCACTTTAAATAAAAAAATAAAAATTTTAAAACTAAACCGGTAACTTTATTCTTCAAGATGAGTATTACTAAAATTACCGGTCACTTTTTCAATAGAAACCCTACAAAAAAAGTTATACTCAAATAATTTTTATTATTTGTAAATAATTTTAGAAAAGGATTTTGCAGCATTTTTTCGCACGTGACGTGGGTTTCAGGCTAAAGATATCTTTTAGAAGAATATTTTTACATAACTTTACCGGTTTTTTACAGCGCATAATTTACCGGATTATTCTCGCAGTTTAGATTTCCCGCTATCTGAATCCGATTTCCTATACATGCTAAATCAAAATGAGGATGCATGTATGCATGTTTGTTTGTTTTTTAAAAAAAAAAATGCAAATAAACTGAACTTTATTTATTTATTTACATTGGCAATAGTTCTTTCTATGCATTATATTCGATCATATCACTAACTTTAATTAATCATTTTAACACCATAAAAAATGGCATGAATGATCGATTTTGCATATAGGACTATTTTATGTAACACGAACGCTGCACATAAAAATCTCTTTGGTATGCATCTTGGCGATCCGGTCACTTTTCATCTTAAAATTTCTTCCCTAACTTTATTTTTAATTAAAGTGAGACGCAAGAAATGTTTTAACCCCTTGTATCGATTTATATAAGCTTCACAAAAAGCAAAACAACTAATAATAAATATTTTGAATGCTTAAATGAGGAATTATTATTTTTTTTTTTTTTAAAAAAAATGTTATAATAAATTTTAATTACAACTTTAGACGGGCATTCTCCAATCCTTTACAATTATAAAGTATCATTCATTGAAAATTAAATTAAATGAAATTCAAGTTTTATTTTTTAATTCAAACGATTGTTAAATGAAAAATAAATACAAAAAAATATACTTTATATTTTCTATGATGAAGGATAAAAAATAATTAAACAAAAAAAAAATTTCAAAATATATCAATGAGTTACTTACCTCACGTTCATGAAGATATGTTACACCGCGACAAATATCTAAAGAAAATTTAATTTTAGTCTCCATATTCATATTTTCTCTAAATTTGGTATAATATTCATGTAAATTTCCATGTTCCATCTATTCGGTAACCAAATAAAATTTGGAATCTTCTTGAGCCACACCAAAAATTCTTATAATATGATCAGAATTTTCTTAATTTTTTGGGAAATTTAACTTGTCCTCTGATTTCTATTTGAATTTGAATTTGAGAAGATGCATTATTTGATAATTCTTTATTATTATAGCACAAATTTTAGAACCGCGACCGTTTAATTTCAATGTTCATTCATTAAAATCTTTTGGATACGCTGGAGGTGAAGAGAAGGAGATAAATATGAAATGTAAATCGCATCTACGTCTAAGGTGCTTTTGTTCCTCGATTCTCCATTTTGACGTTTTTACTTCTTAACATAATTAATCAAGAGGGGAGTGATAAAGGAAGTTATTTACCGTCAACGTTCGCGAAATTCATTAAATAACTTTTCCGAAGTTTCATCAAAGAAATTATATTGCATAATGTAATTAGCAAAAATGAGTCAAAATAATAAATTTAAAAAAACCGTCAAAAGTCTAGAAATATAGAATATGTTACCCCATAAATTATTATGTTACACAAAACCATTTGATTCGGAAGTCATTTTCGATAATATGTAAATTTACTATTGAACTATTGTTATGATTAATGCAAATTCCGGCCGAAATCTTGCCTTTAGCATATTTCTTTGAAAATCATTCCCTTCGCTATATTCCCATTACACCTTCGCGATAATTTCGATTTTCGCCCTTTAAATTTATAATTTCGCATTTTGTAACGCAGTTTATTGTTTTATTTTTTAATTTCCGATTTTATTAGTAATTTATTATACAATTTTTATGTAACAGTTTCGTAATTGCGTAGTTTTAATTAATTAGGACTTAGAA